GGACAAATTATATGGAAGCTGATTAACTGGTTTTTATGTTTTTGGAATATAGGATGAAAGCATAGCTAACTGATGCAAACATTTGGAGGACATTAACAACTCTATGGAGGTATTTTCTATGATATGACTGACCCTAGGACCTTTGTGATACATTTTTAAACTGTCCCTTCTACTTTACTGTGTACATGCACTGTAGATGATTGTGCATTCATAAGTTTGTTATTTACTTGATCAAGTCTGATTATATCTCCTAGATTGTAAGCTCGAAAGAGCAGGGCCCTCAATCCCCTCATGTTTTGCATTGTAATGGTATTGTTCTGTCACATGTTCTGTCCCCCTCTGTAATGTACAGCGCTGAGTGAACTATTGGCGCTTTATAAATACTGTATAATAATAATAATAATAAGGGGTCAGATTCTTTTTAGTCACAGGATTACCATTCAAATCTAAAGAAAGCAGGTAGACTTCCCTGCTTCAATGATATCAGCCCCCCTCTTCTATTGCTTGTGCAGATTGCCAGTGCTATTTGCATTTATTTAATGTGTATCTGTAAGTAAGTAAAATAGACATGACTAGTGACAAGTTGGGCATGAATGCACTTACTGCTGATCCCTGCAGTCTATTTACTACTCCACTCTCTGTTACTTAGTACTCCACTTTGCCTGACCTTTGAGTTAGTTACTACTGATCTGAGTTGCTGGGGAAATCACCAGCAGATGCAATGAATTGCCAAGGTCCAGCTAGTACAATTCATGGAAGGAAGGGGGAGTTTTTTCTGAAGGTATTTTTGTCCTAGAGAGGGTGAGTGTTTATATTGGGAGGAGGGACCAATTTTTGCCTGGGAGGCATTCTGTGTTTTACTTACTTTAACCTCCACACTCTTTGCGTATTTAATCCTGGACTCTGCATTCTGTATTACTTACTACCGACCCCTGCACTCTGTTACCCATTACTGACCCCTGCATTGTACATTATGCACCCTTGACCTAGAGCAGGCTCAGGTCTTATTTAACTATACCCCTTTAAGCCTCCTTCCACTTTTTGTTCATGATTTGGCCATACTTATCATTTTGCACAGCATGCTATTAGCCCTACCCCATTAAAAGTGGGCATGGTCAGCAGTGTGTACCTGGATTTAATTTTGAAAATCTGGTCATCTTACCCTAATTAACAAGTAATCCTCCAATTAACTTTCCTCTCAATATCCTATAGCAACAAGTTTGATAGGTTTTGTATATTTATCAGTACTGTGTGTCTGAATTATGCATACAGATCCCAGGACAATAGCTTTGGAGTGAAAATCATTGATCTGTTATAGAATTCAAACCTTGTTAAAAAATGGAATTCCAGCTGTATATGCATTCAATAACAACTTTATATAACTAAATATATTTTAATTAGCAGTAGTAATTCTGCCTGAAATATTTCTTTATATTAATTACCCATAATCCCCTGCATACTGGTGATTAGGCTGAGAATCACAGTACCTGCACTCTTCTACAACAAATGACTGCATTTATTTTAAAATGTTTCAGTCATTTTGAGCTAAAAAGGGTAGGTGTGTGAATTGGCTTACAGGAGAGTCCAATTAGTAGGCTGGAGATAGTGAGATGGTATAGGAAGCTTCAGAGCTACAGATTTTAATGCAGTGTTTCTCAACCTTTTTCCAGTTAGGACACCCTTGAAAAGTTTTTTCAGTATCGAGGCATCCAAGACTAAGGCTTGGTTCACAGTATTGTGTGTTGGGGAACACGTGCAAAAAGCGTGCTGGCATCACATCAAAATGTCTAAAAACAGATATGCTCTGTTTTTGACAATGCACCAGCACACTGTTGTGCATCACCCTGAGTTTCAGCGCACTGTGAGGTAAGTGTGCCTTACAGTGTTACGATGCCATTTAAAATTAACTGGAAAAGTGTGAATGGTTCTTCAGTGGAAATGTCACACTGTATCTACAGTTTAATGAATGGCTGAAAAGAAGCACAAATATTTTGTGAGGTCAAATAGTTAACAGCTATGCAATTTAACAGAATATTTTGTTTCTTAGTTCAAGCTGACTCTTTAAAGTTGATGTTTAATCTGCATATATTTTTACTTTCCTTTTCCTGAAAATACACCTCTCAACATGCTAATAATTCCTGGGTCAATGTGCTTCTCTGTTCAGTGCAGAAAGATCATGGTTGGTGGGGGGGGCAGCAGGGTGCTCTACATAGGTCGCTGAAAACATTACAATACTCTGTCTTAGTGCTTCTCTCAAGAGCTCTAAGTGCCTCGATGCAAACACTAGACTGTTTCTGGGACGAGTTATGCAAATATCAAAATGCCTTTATGGTTGACTTCCAATCTTGAGGTGTGGGAGTTCCTGCAGACTACATTGGCATGCAGAACTCCGCAAATATTACTCATATTTGATGGTGAGCATCTGTGAGTGAAAGAACTGAAATCCAATGAATGAAAGGGGCCAACCAGGGTCAGTAAGTGCTAGATGATGCTTCTCTACCTTTTGACTCAAGTGTAGTATCTGTTCTTATCAGTGTCCAGTAGGGGTGTGCTGGAATGATTGGTTGTATAGTATCCCTACTGGTATGATGGGGGTTGTGAGGGTCCTCCTCTTGAGAAGGAATCCAAATTTACAAGGCAAGGTGGGGGTTGGTAGTACATCCCTAGTGTGGAGGGTTCAGAAGGGCCCTGTGCCTCCTGATTTGATTGGTGCTGCCTTGTCTGGTCTAGTGTCAGAAGGCAAAGAAACTGCAGTGTTAAGCGCCCCCTGGGAGTAGTGCCCCAAGGGTGATCCTAGTATCACTATGTGTTTTGAACACCACTGTGAGAAAGGGTACTAAACCACAGCACCATTTATTGTTTCTACACAACACCCCATAGGCTAAACCTTTTGGCGGAGACCTAGGCAATTTTTGTTACCAGGCTTCAAGGCCTAGCCACCTCACCTGTATTGGCACCCCTTTTACATTTTTTTTATGTCAATTTGCACTTATGTGTGTGTTTTGTCACTCAAGGATTGTAAGGTGTGGGTCTTCGGCCCTATCCTGATGTTTAGGCTGAGGATGTGTGGCACTTAGGTTCCTTCCGCCCCTGCCTTTGGGGGGGTCTCTCTTTGGGAGAGCTCCTCCCCTAGTATTCGTTGGTTGGCTTCTGCTGATCATGAGGAGAGGGGTCTGTAGGGCCTTTTGGCTAAGTAGACCTGTGTAAGCCTTTCTCCTGTCAGGTGTCTTCCATCCCAGGTGGGTCAAGGAAGGCCCCTTCCCGTACGGAAGGGGACCATATGGGAGAGGACCATATTGACCCATCATAGTGCAGTTTTGTGTTCACATATTTCAGTATACTTTGATGTTTTTATTTTTGCACACCACACCTCTGGCTTGAAAAAAAAGTCCTAGATGATGTTGGATGTCCTGCAACCAGGAAATAAGGCAGGCTTTATCTAACTTGCTGCAGCTTCTAGTACATTTCCCTAAGAGTATGTACATGAATAAAGCATGCGATAACAACAGAATTCCTCTGGAGGCTGACATTATTAGAAAACCTTTTTTGAGCATCCTGTATAACGAGTCTAGAATTCAAATTCCCTCTTAATACAGAATGCTTTTACTGCCTAGTGACACAAAGCTGGCGTGTGCCAACATTGCAATGTGGGACATTGGTAATGTCTTGGAAATACCCAGCAGACCAGGGGTGGACTGACAACTCATGGGGCCCCCAGGCAATAGGGGATCATGGGGCCACTGTGTCCTCACCCACACTCAAATCACACCCAAAAAAGCCTATGAAAGGTACCAGGGGCATCTCATGGGGCCCCCTACTGACCCCGGGACCTCGGGCACTGCCCGAGTGCCTAAATGGTCAGTCTGCCCCTGCAGCAGACTCATATCTGTAATATCTAGAACTAACCTTACTCCAATCAAACTTTTCAAGCTTTCCTCTATGCCCCAGATACAATACAGCTATTAGATGCTTCTGGCACATCTATTATAGTGTTGTCCGGTTATTAAAGAATAGCTATAGTCCAAAGTTAAAACAGTATATTTATTTACACATTGTATTTCAATTATTTCTAGTCTATTCCTATTAATCTGTATGATCTTGAAGGTCATTATAAACTTACTCTGTGAAGAATCTCACAAATTTACTTCCTTGAATTATGTGACATATATTCACTATACCCTGTCTGTAGGCTTTGCTGTTTCACACATTTCATGGAGCCTGCCTTCTGAACTACATAGGCTCTAAGAAGAGGAGTTTCAGGAGGCAGAGCCAGTACAGGAATCACTGTTTACAGGAAGCAAGGTACCATAGGATATGTAGTCCTTAGAAAATGAAACCAAACAGCAGAGAAGAAACTGCAAACCATACAGGGAACCCAAGACATTGTGGAAAGAGTTGGCCAGCAGACAGGCAGGACTCACAACATAAAAGGAGATTTTTGAAGTAAGCTTACTGTGTATTGGATTGTCAAATATAACTACAGTTTCTATTGCCATCACAATGCTGATGTAAAATGAAAGTGTATGCTTCCACTATAAAACTCGTTTAGCTAATACTGCCAACAAATGAAACATTTGTTACATGATATTATGGGTTCATGAGTATCTCCCAACTTCACACAACAGTTTGTCTTTCAGGTAACAATAATAGTTTATAATTAACTAGTTGCCGACCGCAGATAGCCGAATGACGGCTGCACTGCGGCTGCCAGTTCTGGGTGGACGTCATATGACGTCCCCCCAGAACGCGCTCTCCTGCGCGCCCCAGGGGGCGCGCACCCGGCGATCTCCGTGATCGCTGTGTCCTACGGACACAGCTGATCACGAGATGTGGTAAAAGGCCAATCATACCGGCCTTTTACCACGTGATCAGCGGTGTCCAATGACACGGTGATCACAGGGAAATGCAAGTGCCGGTTCTCGGCTGCACTTTCCTCACGCTGTCAGATCGTGAGGAAAGTACTGCCGAGAACCAGCAGTTGTCAGAGCGAGGATCGGCACCGATCATCAGGGCACTGATGATCAGTGCCCTGATGATCGGTGCCCAGCAGTGCCACCCACAAGTTCCGCCCACCTGTGCCCAGCAGTGCACCCACTAACTCCGCCCACCTGTGCCCAGCAGATCACCCACCTGTGCCCAGCAGTGCACCCACCTGTGCCCAGCAGTGCACCCACCTGTGCCACTCTGCAGTGTCACACACCTGTGCCCAGCAGTGCCACCCACCTGTGCCCAGCAGTGCCACCCACCTGTTCCCACCCACCTGTACCCACCAGTGCCACCCACCTGTGCCCACCAGTGCCACCCACCTGTGCCCACCCACCAGTGCTGCCCACCAGTGCCACCCACCAGTGCAGCCCAGCAGTGCTGCCAGTCAGTGCCACCAGTCAGTGCCCAACGGTTGTGCCAGTCAGTGCCGCCAGTCAGTGCCCAGCAGTGATGCCAGTCAGTGCCGTCTATCAGTACCCATCATCAGTGTCACCTATCAGTGCCGCCTATCAGTGCTGCATATTAGTGCCGCCTATCCGTGACATCTCATTAGTGCTGCCTATCAGTGCCGCCTATCCGTGTCACCTCATTAGTACTGCCTATCAGTGCCCTTTAGTGCTGCCTATCAGTGCCCATCAGTGCCGCCTATCAGTGCCCATCAGTGCTGCCTCATCAACGCACATCAGTGAAGGAGAAAAATTACCTGTTTGAAAAATTTTATAATAGAAACAAAGAAACTTTTTTTTTTTTCAAATTTTTTGCAATTTTTTAATTTATAGCACAAAAAGTAAAGCGCCCAGTGGCAATTAAATACCACCAAAAGAAAGCTCTATTTGTGAGAAAAAAATGATCAAAATTTCATATGGGTACAATGTTGTATGACCGCGCAATTGTCAATCAAAGTGCGGCAGCGCTGAAAGCTGAAAATTGGCCTGGTAAATAAGGGGGTATAAGTGCCTGGTAGGCAAGTGGTTAAAGAGATTCTCTACTAATTTTTTACAGGGAAGAAAAAGAAAAAAATAGATTTTTGGGCTAAGTGCCACCTCCAAACAATTAAATGTTGGTAACAAATGCCATTTTAAATTCACCTTATTCAAGATTAACCTGTGATAACCATAGATGCTGCACATGTAAATGTCAGAACATCTGGAACAGATTGTTGAGCATGGCATACACCTGTAATACCAAACTTTGATTGACAGTCGCATTTCATATCTAGCAATGAATATATTTAGCCCAATACTATAATGCTTGCCATACACAGTTAGAAAATTGTTTGAAAAAAACGGTTGGATTTATAAAGATTTGTCAAACGTGCACGCAATAACGCATCATTGTATCAATATTTGTCCCCCAATTACTGACATATTATCGACTGAAAACAATTTCTCGTCAATTGATTACACTTATGGGGTTGCATTTTAATGCATGCATGTACTGTAGATTTTTCAAACTGGTTTAGGCCTATTTTTCTAGTATTGTTTAGAAAATCAATTGTTTAGGCTCAAAGAGTCCGACACAACAGTGTTTTTTTTGCCGTAAAACTTTACACTTCAATAATCGAAATTAGCCCACTAACGTTTCAAAAGTCAAATGATCAAGCGTATCAAACACTTTTTTGAACGATTTTCAGTATGACCCATCATTCACCTTCAGTAAGAAATAAGATCAACGTGACAACATTTCATGTGATTTCTGTTGCACTATTTATTGTTAAGCATATCTAAGGTATAAGATATAGCAAGTAGCTATAGACCTCCTTTTTTGTTTTTATGTTCTGTGTAATGCAACGATGCATTGGAATGATGTTGGGATGAAATTCTTTAACCAGTTAATCAGATACTCTGTTCAAGGATACTTTTTTGAAAAATATATAAAAAAAATGTATAATAATTTGGTGAAGTATTGCATTGTTTTTTTATGGAAAAGCTATTCCTAAAAAAAGATGATTAGCAAACGTGTTTTTTGGCACAGGGAGTATGTGATGATCAATGTAATCTGGTGCTAGGTGAGTCTAAGGGAGTTAGGTGTATTGGAGGGGTTGCAGATAGAGGAATTGGGGTGTGTAGGGGGGAGTAGTGTGATTTATGGAATCTACAGAGTGGAGCTGTTTACAGAACAGATGTACTGTACAATGTGCAAAGTGGCATGTTCAGCAGAACCGAACACACAGCACAGTGGAGAGTATGGAGCAGTGTGCAGTAAGTAATTCAAAGCGTGCAGTGTGGAGCAATTTAAATCAATCAAATTCAAGGCAAAGATAGGATGAGGACAAGTGAGTAAAATGAATTCATTCTAAACATTGGAAGTGATTAGTATTAGTTCTGCACGTTACTCCTGCAGCCATGTTCGTTTTACTGCCCTACTACACATGAGGCAAGTTGGTTGTTTTACTAAAATCAAATAGACTGTTCACTTTGCAAGGGAATTTTCACTTAGCTTAGTCAATGTGGTGAAGTGTAACTCCTCTCCACTCCACTCCACTCCACTCCACTCCAATAATGCTGTTGGACTTGCTTCTTTCTATAGACTGCAAAGTCTTTCTATGGCCATTTCACTGTAAATTGGTTAATAGGATGTGAGTCCAGTAATTAGCGCCTGTAGTGACCCATATCAACATGATAAAAACACATTCATTAGAACTCAAATCATTGAAATAATTTATATTGTATACCAACTCTTAATATACACAGTCTTTTAATGTTTTTCAGAAGTGTTCAAAGCTTAAAATACAGTAGAACTATAGACAAAATCTTCATTTTTCAATTCGGATAGAGAAAGAAAGGGTAATAGCCCTTGTCAAAATTTGTTTATTTTTTTTTGCCAACTGTGTCCCATTGGAGAGATTTACCTTTACTTCATGTCCCATAGCCAAAACAGGAAGTGAGAGGAAATCCCTGCAGATTAAAGGAATCTCTTGGGGACCCATTGAAAGATTTCCCCTCTATTATTTCTCTGGGGACAACCCAAAATGTAGGATTTTCTATTACTTTCAATGATAATGGTAAACAGGTAAAATAGAGAATCAAGTAGAAAGAATGAGCGCACAAAAACTAAAACAGCTGCTAGCATAAAGGATGAACCCCATGATCCTCAAATGGAACATAAAATATATATATGCAGCGCTAAAATTAAAGTGACTAAGTGCATAAAACGCAAAACTAAAATTTGCACAAAATTGGTGAATTCCAACAAGTGTCAGCAAAGGGACAACTCAAAAAGTGAATGGATGAACATAAAAACATTGAATAAAGTGACAAATTGATTGTGAATGTTCTAAGGCAAAACCAATAATAGCAACTCAGTAAACTCTTGAAAGAAAATATTTAGAACATATAAGCATATGAAGTCCAGTGAGTTAGTGAATGGATGAGAAAGACCTAAAAATCAGATGGAAAGTTCCAAAAACTTCTATAACATCTAGAATCCGGTGCAGGTGACTTCTGTGGTCAAAGGAATGAAGTATGCTTGCACTTACCAGAAGCACAAGCTGAATGCGCATATAAATATCATATCCAAAAGGGACCCTGGTGGTCATCATGGATCTGGTCACAACCTGGGGGAGGGGGGCTCCAATGGCACACACACATCGGACAGCACTCCAGACCTCGCAGCAAATCAATCCACCACACAGAGACACAGGTATAGCTCCGTAGGTAAATCCAGCCACTTTACATCGCTCTGTACCAATGATACTACTCCACCTTAAATGGCTCAAAAATTGAAGCCACCAAACAAGGGTATGCTAATAGTGTAGTACGTTTTAATTAGCATATCATATAATACATCCAGCTCAGATATCCATAAAGATGCAGAATAAACATCCAGCTTACATTTAGTGGCTTAGTTTGGCTCGAGAGATACAGTGACTAGCTGACATACAAAATCTCTGCTGACATGCAGTAGCTCAAAGATGGCCGCCAGACCCACGTGTGGCCTCGGCGGTGTGATGTCAGTGCGGCAAGGCTCCTCCCTGACACGTTTCATGTAAAAACACGTTATCAAAGGTATATATATACAGTGAGGAACAGAAGTATTTGAACACCCTGCGATTTTGCAATTTCTTCCACTTAGAAATCATGGAGGGGTCTGAAATTCACATTGTAGGTGCATTCCCACTCTGAGAGACAGAATTTAAAAAAAAATTCAGGAAATCACATTGTATGATTTTTAAAGAATGTATTTGTCTTGCACTACTGAACATAAGTATTTGAACACCTAAGAAACAGCAAGAATTCTGCTCTCAAAGACCTGTTACTGTGCCTTTAAAAAGTCCACCTCTACTCCACTCATTAATCTAACTTAGTAGCACCTGTCTGAGCTCTTTAAAGACACCTGTCCACCCCACAGTCAGTCAGACGCCAACTACTACCATGAGCAAGAAAAGAGCTGTCAAAAGACACCAGAGACAAAATTGTGGACCTCCACAAGGCTGGAAAGGGCTACGGGGCAATTGCCAAGCAGCTTGGTGAAAATAGATCAACTGTTGGATCAATTGTTAGAAAATGGAAGAGGCTAAAGACGACTGTCAGTCTCCCTCGGACTGGGCTCCATGCAAGATCTCACCTCGTGGGCTATCACTGATGATAAGAAAGGTGAGGAATCAGCCCAGAACTACAAGGGAGGAGCTGGTCAATGACATGAAGAGAGCTGGGACCACAGTTTCAAAGGTCACTGTCGGTAGAACACTACGCCGTCATGGTTTCAAATCATGCATTGCACGGAAGGTTCCCCTGCTCAAGACATCATATGTCCATGCCCATCTGAAGTTTGCCAATGACCATCTGGATGATCCAGAGGAGGCATGGGAGAAAGTCATGTGGTCAGATGAGACCAAAGTAGAACTTTTTGATCTAAACTTCACTCGTCGTGTTTGGAGGAAAAAGAAGGATGAGTTGCATCCCAAGAACACCATCCCTACTGTGAAGCATGGGGGTGGTAACATCATGCTTTGGGGGTTCTTTTCTGCAAAGGGGACAGGACGACTGCACTGTATTAAGGAGAGGGTGAAAGGGGCCATTTATTGTGAGATTTTGAGCAACAACCTCCTTCCCTCAGTCAGAGCATTGAAGATGGGTCGTGGCTGGGTCATCCAACATGACAACGACCCGAAGCACACAGCCAGGATAACCAAGGAGTGGCTCCGTAAGAAGCATATCAAGGTTCTGGAGTGGCCTAGCCAGTCTCCAGACCTAAATCCAATAGAACATCTTTGGAGGGAGCTGATCTCTGTGTTGCTCAGTGACAGCCCCGAGACCTGACAGATCTAGAGGAGATCTGTGTGGAGGAGTGGGCCAAAATCCCTGTTGCAG